TCCCTCGGATTCAGAGAGAGGAATTAACCTCCGGTCTCTAGTGACCAGCAGGGCTTGAATTTAAAGGAAAAAGTGAACACACAGACCCCCCCCACTGCCCCATCCCATACCGCAGAGCCCGTGGCACATCCGCTGCGCCCGGCTCTCGGAGCGGCTCTTGCCAGTGGGTACGTGAGGGGTGGGGGTACGAGGTGGTCCCCCCTCAGCCAGCATCGCCCAGCATCCCTTTCTGGGGGGGCTTTCACCTACTTGGGCTTACTGGTGACCTTGTTCCTCCGACTCCGAAGGAGCCACGGGCACATCAGCCTTTCCTGGCAGCCGGAGGGGGCTGGTGGTAAAAATTTGGGGAAGGAGGGGTGATGGTGCTGCTCGTTTCTGTAGAGATGGCTCTTGTTGGTTGACGGCGGGGTGGTTTTGCTAAAAAAGCCCCCGGTTTGGAAAGAGCATCCCTCCCTCCGCCGTGGGGGGGAGGATGGTGTGACGGGAGGTCGGCAGGGAGAGCGGAGGGGCTCTGGGCAGGAATTCCGGCAGGGTGCTTGTGGAGCGCTGGAGAGGGACGGGGGATCTCCGGGGACAGGGGGGTTTCCAGAGGATGCCCTCGTGGTAGCCTGGAGGGGTTTGGAGCTTGGATCTGTTAAGCAGAGTTTCATTCTTGCGCTTGGACCTGAAGTGAGAGCTGGAAAAGGATTTTTTGAGATTCCCGTTTGGTCGCTGCCCTTCCCTGCGTGTCGTTAGAGCTGCCATCGCACAAAGCAGCAGCTTTCCGCAGCAAATCCTTCGCCAGCTTTCACTTCTTTTCCAACTTAACTGTTGTTCTTCCTCCAAGTGAGGGCAGCGGGCGAGCGGGCTCAGCCTCTCAAAGGGATATTTGCCAACCCCTCCTCTGGATCTTGCTGTCTTCCCTTTGTGCTCCGGCGCCGAGCTGCGATTCCAGCGACAGAGGAAAACAGCAACTTTGCAGGAAACTTTCTTTTGTCTTATCATCGTACGTCACTTAATCTCATGCCAGCTATTTAGGAATCTGTGAGCAGACTGCTGGGTTTTCACAAGAGACTTCTGAGTCGCATGCCTCCACTTTTTTCTTTTTTTTACTTTTTTTTTTTTCCACGCCCACCGCTTTGCAAAAAAAAAAAAAAAGCGCGAGATGTTTGCAGCGAGCTTCTCTAACCCCATATGAGGCGTGGGGCCAGTTGCCTTTGTCCGTGAGTATTTCTTCTGATTTTTTTTTTTTTTTTAAGGCATCCTTTCTGGATCGCAGTGAGCCCATGGTGTGTGGTTATCTTCCTCCGAGAGCACAAACCGTGCAAAGGTGCTGCCCATGCATGTTCGGGCGTGTTGTTCTGACCCAGGCTGGGATCTCACCCAAGTTTTCATCGGGAGCTTTGGGATGGGTGCTGTGGGAGGGGGGGGGATGCTCGCGCCCAAACGCCGCGAGCCCGGGGGGGCTCAGCAGGGACCGTCCCTTTGCAGAAGGGGATTTGCTTCACTCGCAGTTTGTCCCCAAACCTTCTTCTCGTGCTCTGGCCTCACCCGCTCCCCCCAAACCCATTTGACCCTCGTGCTTCATGGTTTGCAAAGTGTGTGGGGGGGTTGCCGGCATTGTGAGAGGCTGTGACCCCCCCAGTCCCTGCAGCTGAGGGTTGCCAAAAATGTCCCTGCACTGCGGGGGGCACAGCTTGGCAGCATCCCAGCAGAGGGGAGGCTGGTGCCTGTCGGGGAGGGTGGTTAATGGCTCGGTGTTGGTGTGTGTTCCCCCCCCCCCAGAGCTGTAGGGCATCACGTATGGA